ATATTCTTCTACGCTACGCTACGCTACGCTATGCTACTGACTTTGAGGGGGGGGGGGTGGGGGGGGGATGGGAGGGGGTGTTAGCGTTCGCTTCTAAGTGCACACCATTTGTACAATAACATTACGTAGATAATCTTCTTTTCATACTTCTTGCGCCCGCCGCAGCATATTTTCACTTTCCTAGAAACATTTGCCATGGTCATAGAATCAAAGAACATCCAGAGCTCCGCAAGTTGGTGATGCAGTACATGTGGCGAAGATTGATTGGACCATGTAGCCCAAATGACTTGTTATATAAATGAGCTTTGCAACATGGTAAAAAAGAACTCCCTGAAAGAGAAGAGGAAAAGGATCGCTGAAAGAGAAGAGGAAAAGGATGAGTGCACTTACGATCAACCAAGAAAAGTCGTTTTGCTAATGGTTGAAATGTAGAACTTCAAGGTCGATACGTGAAAATGGGCACGGCGCTTCAGTGCCATTAACGTTTTGCCGAAGACAATGCTCATTTTGCGCCACGGCGCAATAGGGGTCACCCTGTAGCTTAGTGGTGGGTGAATCTCTGTTTAGAACAACCGCTTCCCGAAGGGCTCATGACAACCATTGAAAATCACAAGCTGCCATCCTGGCGGACAGCTGGGTGTAAGTAAAGAACTTCCCCAAATGGATTGAGTGACCGGTTTTTCTTCTGCCTCGGTCCGATTCACGCTCCTCTGGCTGCAGGGGTGGCGAAATTGGCCTTCGGCCCCTTACCGGATCTGAGCGGCTCGCTCAGCGATCTGCCCAGCGATGTCTCCGGTCTGAATCGGGTTCCAAAGAATCGGTCGGGATCAGCGAGGGCATGGACACCTGCAACGGTGTCCTTTTCATTCAGACACGTTTTTTTTTTTGTATCGTGTGCAAGTTCGACATTTACACTGCTTGCTTTGAAAACGGACGGCCGCAGCCGTGCTTGGAATCCGGCCCCCGGAAAAACGGCCTTTGGATTGAGGTCGCTGCTGGCTCGTATGTGGAGAGCTTCAATGTGATGTTGGCAGATCAGGCTTACTTGGCAGATTGGGAGAATGCCTTGGAGACTCTTGAAGAGATGAAGACCTTCAGCATCAGTCCTGATGTGACCAGCTACTTTGCAGCCTGGATAGAAAATAAACAATCTGTTGGATTCAGGTTCTTGCCGCCAGGTCCATGGATGTTTTTCCCTTTTTTGGGGGGGGGGCAGGGCTACAAATGAAGTCCCAGACATTCTAAACAAAAAACGGTGCTCAGTGGGCCAGTGGTCCAAGTGGAGTGTTTTATGGTGGACCCTGTCCCGCCATCTATTTGTTGGCCTTGGTCGCCCAGTTTTCGAAGTGGGGTGAAACATTTTGGAAGAACTGTGCTCGGTTTCTCTCCACAGCAAATGTTCTAAGTATAGGAACCTTTCAGTGGTTCTTTCTTGCCTGTTGATGATTGGTTTACCGGATCCGTTACGAGGTCGACCAGACCGGCTTCTCGGTGGCCGCCGTATGATTTAACAGCCGGTAAACAGATCATGCCAATTCTTGAGGAAGGCCAGTTCGAAACATCATCATCGACTGTTGGTACGTGAACACTGACCAACCATTTGGAAGTGACAACCATTTCACTTCACTAGGATGCAAAGCGGACAAGCATCAACTGTTACTGAAGTTGCTGGAAAAAGGCCTTTACCAAACATTATCCATTGCTGCTTGACATTTTGATATATCCAAACTACAAAATTACATCTTATTATGAGAGGCTCACATCACTCTACGGAGTTGAAGAGTTCAGTGCCTCTCGAATTGAGTGAGAAACGGGAGAGGGCGTGGAGGCAGGCGTTTTGGATTTGGGGGGGTGGCCCAGAGATTTTTCAGCCATAAATCAGGGTGAAACATCCAATGAGACCAGGAGGCAAATTCACTGCGCCACAACAAAGCGAGGCCTGCATTTGTGCTTCTCGAAGGGCCAGCGCTTGGCAGTCTGCGTTGTCTCTCCTCCAGGAGGCTTGGAATGTGGACTTGGAGCCCACTGCGTGCTGGCAGCAAGAGACTGTTATTCCGTTCATGTTTGGAATGTGAAGAAACGTGCTTGGGGTAGACCGCCGTGGGTGGTGAAGGGCGGCGAAGCCATGTCCACATTCATGCCTGGTGGTCCCTTCATATGGTTGTGGGTCAAAACAAGGCCCTTTCTTGAAGAGGCGAACTGAAGAGTGAACGTTTCGCTCGGGTAGGGGGGAGCAGGGCAACCTACACTCCAACCTCTCGGCCTCGGCCTCCCTCGGCCTCTCTCCGTGAAATCCATCCAATGACCGTCGCTTGCCTCAGGTGGAGTGCTACAGTCACACGATCCGTGCCTGTAGCCACCATGAAATTGCCTCGAAGCTGCGGGCGGAGCTGAAGCACTGGGGGGCAGCGCCGGATCATGTGGCACGGTTCCATACCACGCCGATGATGAAGTGGGTCCTTTGGGTGCATGAAACAAAGCCGTCCAGCTGGTGCTTCTGTTTGGGTGGGTGGATGTTGCGGGTGGGTGTTCTGGACTGGGATGTGAAGTGATTCTCGCGCGCCGCGGGATTCTCCGTTCAGAGTCCGTTCGAGAGTCCAGTGTGAGTTGATAAGAGAAAAACGGTGATTGATGGGTTACTCACTAGTTACTGACTTAAGACACAAAAGGCCGTATAAGCGCTCATGCTGGGCTGAAAAAAAAACTTGCGGTGACGGTGACAGTTCTTCACGAAGGCTTCCTGTTTTGTTTGTTTGTTTCTTTCCTTGCCAGTTTGAGGGGACTCCCCAAGGTTCGGTGTCCTTTGGGGTCTCTCTTTGTAGGGGTATGCACCGGAAGCTGCACCCCATGGCGTTCTTCTCAAGGCCAGGGAGCTGAAACAGTACGGCTGTGCGGTGAAGAGTGAGATCAACTGGCAGGGTGGTCCTGTCCCAAAGCCTCCGGATGCTTGGCCTTGGGAGTGACACCATGGCGACGTTTTTCTTTTCTTCGCAGGCACTCAGAGTTTCCATCAGATACAAAAGATCGATATGATTGGCGTAAATATAATATGTAAATGATGTATTGAAGGGAAGGGGTTAACAAGAGTTGGTGGCCAGTGGGCATTTATTTTTTTGTGCGTGTGTGTGGAAGTATTTGTTTTTTTTGCCCAACCATTTGACATTGAGACTCCGGCTCTTTGTTGCATCTGAGGAAGGCACCCAGCCAGGCTGCTGGTTACTGCCCAACCAGGACAGGGGGTCGGTTGAATTGGATTTTCACATTGCCCAGACGCAGTTTGGATGCAGCCGCCCTGCCCCGATGGGTCAAAGCGTCTAGACTCCCGTCCTCAGAAGCTGCAAAACAGGAGCGGAAGGATCCACGAGGGTCTCAAGTCTGAGTCCTGAAATCACCGGTGCTTCCAGTCAGGTCGGCGGGACGCCGTCGGCGGGACGTCCTGCCGGTCTCGGCAGACCTGACTGCAGTCGGACTGCGGTCGGCAGGATGGTGTGGCCTTGGAGATCGCTGCGCGGCAGAGGGAACTACGTGAGGCTGGCTGGAGGATCATCTCGGTCGAGCCGCACGTGGTGTCCACCTTGCGGAACAAAGCGTCTTGGACGTGGTGGGAACGAAGGGTTCCCTTAAGAAGTATGTATTGCATCTGCTAAAAGGGCAACCAGACCCTTCAACAGGCCGAACGAAGCGTATGTTACAGTATACTGGTTTTATCATGTTCTTCAGTTTTCAGGTGCCCGCCATTCAAGCTACTGTACCTTATTGACCTAGGGCATGAAAATTCCGCCACACCCTGAGCAACCCTACTGAGGCCAGTATGCTCGAATATGCCAAGGAGAAAGGCATTGGTGCTTCAACCCCAAGGCTTCGGCGGATGTTGAGGGCTTGTCAGTCCCCACTGTCGCTATATACACTTCCACTGTCTTGGGGTTGTGTATACACTGTAATTTGTTGCAATATACACTTCGGGGTTGTGTATACAACCCTCCAGTCTTTCCACTGTCGCTACACTTCTCTGCAATTTTGCTACACTCAAAAGAGAACAGGAGCAAAGGGCATCGCTCCTAGGAACAAGAAGCTACTAGGGGCTCCTGGCCTTACTACTAGGAACAAGGACGCTACTAGGAGCAAGAAGCTACTAGGAATGGTCAACGACAAAACGCTCCACCTCAGTTCCCGCGAAGCTGGTCAGCCACACAGCTTGGACCTCAGGCCACTCACACACGAAAAACACCCCGCGCTTTTCAAAACACTACGCTTTTTGAACCAGAAGTGACCCACCATGGGCACCGGCAGGTGCTTTGGCACTGCAGGGGAGGCGGAATATCCCTGCATTCTGAAGCCAGAGCTGGGGACCTTTGGACCCTCGGCCCAGACAGATGTCCATCCTGGTTTCATGTGGTTTCGTCTGAGGCTCCGGCATGTTTTTTTTGGGGGGGTTCCGTGCGAACACGTAGAGAAGCTTCCTTTGTGTGAATATGTGTGAATTGGTCGTTTTCAGCCTTGACCAATGCCCTTTTGTTGCATCAATGCCGCTTCCCCATCTTTGCACATGGTGAAGCTTCTTCGCAAGCAAGCCTTCCATGGGTGGGACGCTGCTGCAGTCCGTCTCCTGTTTCCTGTTTCCTTCTGCCGGTCTTCCGCCGGTTTTTGCAGGGAAGGATACCCACGTGGTTCGCTCCGAGGAGGAGGTGGACCGACTCACGCGCGGTGAGGGATTGGCTCCCAAGTGGGTTCTGCAGGAGTTGGTGCCCGGGCGCCTGGATGCTGGGAGAGAAACGAAAAAAGCAGAGGCTTTTGATTCAGAGGTTTTTGAGTCTAACGTTCGTACATGTTTTGTAGGAGTTCTGTTTGGATACACTCCCTGGAAGAGTCATGGTTACGTGGGAAAACACTCATTTGTAGAGATGCTCATCCAAGGGGCCATGCCATCCACTTCCATGATTATTCTAGGGAGCGTACTGTATTTGTTCTAAATGGGTTATTGACCTTGCATTGATGTTCAGGAATATTCAATCACTTTGCTGGTGCTGAAGGGCGTGGTGGTGGACTACGTCAACACCTTGTACGAGTACGATGGTGAGGAATATGTTTGGCCATTCGTTAAGGAGGTGCGGCACGAGTATGTATCTGTTTCTTGGATTCTCTATAATGGCCAACCGCAACTCAGCCGGGGCTCCTTTGGAGGGTGTATGAGGGTGTACTTGTTTCTCTACAGCATCCCCAAGTCGTGGCTAGAACATATACAATGCGGCTCCTTTTCGATACATATATATATATATATAGATCTTTGTTGATTCTGGAGAGATCATTCTTTCAGAGTCTTCCGTGCACCGAAATCTCGGGAGATCCAAGGTTCCTCAAGCTCATCTGGATGTCATGAGGATCCTGTTGTCAGAGTTCAGCGGCATTTGTTGCCTGGGTTGCTTGGACGTGGTAAGTCTGACAATCCGTCGATCTCTTCCATGTATGTCGTGGGTCAAAAGACCATGTATGTCGTGGTTGTGGTGAACCTCGTGCCGAAGAACCGCTTGGCACGTGATTGGCACACCAAGTAACCAAGCGGAATCGACCGGACCCGAATCGACTTTCTGCCCCAACTTGGAGTCTTTGATCTTCCCCAACTTGAAAGTGAGGTATGGAGTCCGGAGCCCTGCAGATCGCATCATAGTGGATCCTTTGTGATCCCAGGGTAGTCGACGGAAGATTCGTTTTTCACTGTAGACTCTATGAGAGGAACCTGCAGAGACGTGTCTTTGTGTTTTTCTTCACATGGCCACAGCGGCCGCCGCGCGGGGTTTCGAGGCTACAAACTCCGTGGGGATGGCAGCCTTTGCATCTTCGAAGTGAACCCTCGCATCGGTGGAGACCTGGTCTTCGAGTGCCCGAAGCCACGTGCGCGAGCACTCTTTGAGAAGCTGGATGCCATGTTCGATGAGCGGATTTGAGCGATAGAAATCTTCCTGCATCCACTATAGACTCCTCGTGACAAGGTCCTTGTAGCGCGCAATTATATAGAGGGAAATACCAAGAGATGAGGGACTTGTCATGGGGGTTAGGTGGTGCACAAGACGACTGTCCACCGAGAGGATCCCTGACAAAAAGACCGCTGGCTTTATGCGCACACTTGGCTTTAGGGTAGTTGAATGTTTGCTATCAGAGAGCAGCCTCCCAAAAGTCCAGCCAGATGCAGCAAGAAAGATGTTTTGACTCATGTCTTGTGTTTTTCTTTAGGAGGTCTGGAGGGCGAGACGGAACCAGCATTTTGGGTGTGCAAACTGGGCAGGAAGACTCATCCATGAACAACGCTCAAACAGATGTGAGTCTGAGCTGTTTAGGAGCCCCATGCTCCAAATCCAGTGTCTGAAAGAACAACCATGATCTCAATGCAAAACCTTTCAAAGTCCCCAGTTCAATCCTCAGGTCATCTACACACACCATGTGTCACCGGCACCTCATCCCACATCGACATCCTCCCACCCGACCTGGTACCCCGTCGGACCGCCCACCGCGAGGACCTCCAACCACCGTGGCCTGGAGCAGATGGGCCTCGTCGAGGCGGAGGAGCTGCGGCGTTTGGCCGCTGGACCACCGGTCACTGATCAGAGACAGATGTGTTTAATTGTTTCATATTGTGTCTAATTGTTTCTGTTTCAATTAACTTATTTCCATTTTTTTTTGTTAAACATAATCTTTTGAACATGTGTAAACCTATTCTATTTTCCTAATCCGAGAGGGACTCTGCGATTGTGGAGCGGTCGAGTGTGGACGGTTTGGCAGGACTTTTGTTTGCCCTGTGTATGGACACGCAACGCAAAAGGACCCGTAGTTGTGGCACCCATTTTCTGATCCAGTTTGAGCCCAGTAATGATCCAGTTTTCTGATCCAACTGGTTCCAGAGTGGGTAATCCCATTATTTTTAACCAGCCATTTTCCGATCCATTTTGAGCCCAGTTGGTGGTAGAGCTTGCGATGGGACCCTCGGGATGAGCCTCCCTCCAAAGGCTTTGGTGGTTGGGCCACACGATGTTGTCTCCCCAAGACATCACACAGACATGTCTCCCAGTCTACCACAAAACCCAGGTGTTCTACTTGCACTGTACGTGCTGATCTGCGCCTGTACTTCCCCAGCTCCGCCCTCTAAGCCTCTAAGCCACGCCGCGCGCTAAATCCGCACCCCTCAGGTTTGGCAGGTGGCCTCCAACTGTCGTGTGCGGAGCTTGAACGAGGTGAACCCTCAGCTTTGGCTCGATCGCTACAACAGGACCACAGCGCGTCTTCCGGTCACACCGGTTTCGGAACGGCAGAACGTTCCGTTTTTTGGACCGCAGAAAGCTGCGCGACCGGTGAAACCGTGGTTTTTGGCAGGGATGGGGGAGTTTTCTCAGTGAGGGGGAGAATGAGGGGCTTGGTGTGGGTTTGGGTGTGGGAGGGTTGGAGGTCAGTGAAGGTATTGGTGTATTGTCGTTTGGCGGTCCGGTGAAGAATGAACCCGAGTTCCTTTGTGCCCATCGGGCTGGGGGACTTCTATTATCGTTGATTTTCAGACACTGCCAGAATCCTGAGAAGGCCACATGTCAGAATTCTGGCAAGTCTTCTTTGAATGGTGAGTGGGGATTGCTGAGTCAGAGTCGGCTGCACAGGTGAAGAAGAACTATAATATATTGCCACGAGTGACCCGCTACGTAGTTAGGGAACGAGCTTTTATGCTCACTTGGCCTTTTGGTTTCAAGTTCTTTCGTGGGGGCGCTCAAGAGCGTGGGGCGCCTGTGGGCGTGATGCCTGGCCCATGGGTATACCTGCCAGATAACCAGGAATACTTCAAGGAGCTGGAACTTGTGGAACATGGGTACTATGAACTCAAGCTCTATGATGAAGAAGGAAATGGACAAGGAACTGGTCTCTGGCAGGTTACCCATATGGTCGAAAAGAAGAAAGAGGGGATTTGGTTGGAAGGACGCTTGATTGCAGCCAATGATCCTCACTTACAGTGGTGGCTAAAGGATGGCGAAGGAAAGGATTACGAGAGAAAGTTTGTGATTCACCTATGCGCTACTCCTTCAAGCGGTTGTCGGAAGACAAAGCGGCACAGGGAGCAGGAATTCCATTCCGACACCTACCGGGAGATTAGCTCGGGCGACATCATCAGCAAAAGAGTCGGCTGGTTCAAGGGGGACGCTGAGACATCGGATATTGATCACGAGGTGGCAGTCTTGACAGGGTCACCCCCTGTAGAGCCGGCAGCTGGTGATCGCCGCGGTCCGATGGGACCAAGCAAGTTATCCTGGGATGAAGGGGTTGGACGTGCCATGGACATGGATGAACCGCCTGCGGGCGAGGATGTGAAGGAACGTTTGGCTGAGCTTGGAGCCCGTGTGGGTGTTGGAGGCACTGCCCGTGATGACAAGCCAAAAAGGGGCAAAACCAAGGTTGATGAAGCTCCACCTACGGGTGAGAAACCAAAAGAAAAAGCAAAGAAGAAAACCGGTAAAAAGAAGAAGGCCCAGGATCCTCATTGGTTTGGCCGCCCTGTGTCTGAATCTGATGAAGTTGTCGGATCGGACGAGGCTGGCTCTGAGGAGCAGAATGACCTCGCTGACGAAGGAAGGACTACAGGACGAAAACGCAAGCCGACTCGAAAGAGAGGCAGCAGGAAGCTCGGCAAGCGGATGAAGGGTGAAGACCGGGGACCCTTTGGAGTGGGTCACAAGGTCGAATTCAAGGACTCGGACAGGTCAGACGATGACGATTCCGGGTCGTCTTTTCACGCGGGCCCCTCCACGAAGTCCCGGCAATTGCAGCTTCAGGAGTACTCGGAGCAGTACCCCGGGCGATTGGCGGCACGACTCCTGCAGAAGATGGAAGAGATCCTAGCTCGGCAGGAGGGGCCCTTGTCATCGAAGGCCGAGCGAAACTTGACTCCAGCGACCGCAACCTCCTATTTCCTGACGGTGCTACTTCCCCAATACAAGGACAGAATAAATCTCAGGACGAGTCGGGAAATAAGAACCCTGTCCAAGGTTCTGGATCTCATGGCAGTCGGAAACGTGAAAACAGCAGGGGACGTGGTCGCTCAAAGGATAAAGTCCCTAGAGCTGTTCCTGGCAGACCAGGTGTGGGGAAGAGCGCAGCACCTGGAGCTCATTCCGCCCGAGGGCGTGAATCTTGTAGGAAAGGATGAGACTCTGATGGCGACAAAGGAACAGGTCACAGACCAGAAGATGAAGTGGGCAATAGCGGGTTACACCCCGTGGAGACCACTATCGAAGGGAAAAGGAGACATGGAGGAGAAAGGAAAAGGAAAAGGAAAGGGCAAGGGAAAGAAGGGGAAGAAAGGAAACGACCACCAAGAGACGGCCCCTTCCGCTTGATGGACAAGTCAGAAAGTGAATCGTCTGAGGGCGTGACCCTTCTTCCCCCTTTCCTGGGTCCATCGGATGTTGACCAACGTCCTCCCTTGCCACGGAAGCCGCCAGTTGTCCGACCAGCTGACGCTTCTGGTGATGATGATCCAGAGACGGTCACTAGGGATTTGTCTGATCGAGACGACGGTTGCCAGATCAATCCGCATGGAGTGGATGTTGAACCATGCGAGAGCGTTCAGGAGTGGACAGCCATGGTAAAGGAGCTGTTCAAGCAGAAGGCGAACTTTAGCGATCTGGGTCAACACCTGTATGCCTTGATGCTTGTGTCACCAACCCCGCTCGGCAATTTCGTTCGTTCGTTTTGTCTGACCACACAACCCTCCACCCTCACTTCACGAAGGCGGGGTCGTTCAGGGGATCTTTTGCCAATACCACCTTGGCGAATTACAACTGACGTTCCTGGTGTGACGGAGGCCAATGTTCTGTGGTTGAAAGCTGTCATTTGTGTCATCAACTTCCAATATTGCGTGGGCTGGAGCAATCCAGTATGCGTGCCCATCGACGATGACCTGACAGATGTTCAAAAGGTGGCGATTGGGGAGATGGGCCAAGTGATAACAGCAAACATTATTTCCGGTACGCCGGTGAAAACTTTGGGGGAGTGTGAAAAACTCCTCAATTCCAAAAGATATGATTACACGGGAAATCCAGTCGAGTACATGGAAGAACTGGAATGTGACAAAGTGACACCGGCGTGGCCGCGGCCAGGTCAGGCCGCAGTACAGCCAGTGGAGGCTTTCCTTTCGCCTGAGAGCAAAAAGGTTTTTGATTCACCGAGGAGCCTTCTCCTCCCACCGGACAAAATGCCGAAGCAGGCCTTGAGATCCCGAGTGCGGGCAACGGATAAAGAATGGTTTAAGATAGTCCGGGCCGCTCACGAGCGAGGAATGATGAAGCCAGTGGCTGACGAGGATGTCCCGCGGGACCGTCAGGGGCACCTGATTACAAATGGAGCTGGAGGTGTCTACAAAGAAAAGATCATCGATGGAAGGCCTACCCATTGTCAAAGATTCATTTCAATCCTATGCCCGATCAACGCAGTGACGATGGCGATCCCAGGGGCTCAGGACACCTTGCCTTACGTGGGCCAATTGACAGGAATCCTGTTGGAAGAAGATGAGGGGCTGTTCCTCGACAGTGAAGACCTGCAGAGTGCGTTCAATTTGTTTGGGGTCCCAGATACATGGCTCCCTTTCTTTGCCTACAGCAAGAAGGTGGATGCGAGTGCCTTTGGGCTGCCAAAAGGAAAGATGGTCCGGCCGGCGCTGAGTGTCGTCCCCATGGGATGGCATTCAGCTGTGGCATTGGTTCAGGAAGCGGTGAGAAACCTGGTGTTTGAAAAGGCACAGATTCCACGTCAGTTCTCCATTGAGAAGCACAAGCCTTTGCCAGAAGAAAAGAAGTTCACGATAGTTTACCTGGATAACTATGATGAGATTCAGGTCATCAAGCGTTTGGACATGGACATGTCGAAAGAGGGTCATGAGATTTCAGAAGACCACCAGAAGTTTATTGATGCTTGTGATTCGGCCCACCTACCAAGGAATATCGGAAAGCAGCTTATCCATGCTTTTGCAGGAGGATTGCAAGGGGGTGAGCTTGATGGGTCGCGTGGAGTACTGAAACTCCAAGCAGAGAAGCTGCGAGCATACATCGAGGTGAGCCTGTGTCTTCTTACCAAGAAGCGGTGGTCGGAGTTCCAATTGAGGCATTGGACAGGAAAAACTGCCTTTTTGGCGACCTTCAAGCGCTCACTGTTTTCGGGAATGGCAAACATTTTCACTGCAATTGAGAAGGCAAGGGTTACTCCTGTTGGAGCATCATATGAGGTCATTGATGAAATCATGGTTATGATGATCGAGTCACCCCTGAGCCAAGTCGAGTTGCGGGCCAAGATTTCCCCTGAGATCAGTTGCACTGATGCTTCGCCAACAGGTGGCGGCAGCGCAGTGGCCACAGAATTCAAACCAATGCCTGATGTGCACGGGCCACCGGTGTCCGATACTACACGCTGCAACGCCTGCCATCACGACCTCCGAAGTGGTAATGGACGTGTAACCTACCCGTGCCCTGTCCGCTGTGGAGCGAGCTTGTGCTCCGTTAAGTGTGTCATCAGCCATCGTCCCTCCGGGTGCGCCCGCGATATGTTCCCAGTACCATTGTTTGGGGAACGTTTCAGTGGACCAAATTTCCCCCTGACCAAGGCGGTGGCGTTGGCAGGGGTAGGTGTGCAACCACCCCTTGATGTCCTTGTGAAAGATGATGCGTGGGACTACACCACAGAGGCCGGAAAAGAGCGTTTGGACGAATATGAGGCAGATCCAGGGCTGATGGCGAGCCATTGGGCACCAAAGTGCAAAACTTTCTCAGCCGCGAGGGGTCGACCCGTCTACACCACTTCAGGAAGATGGCTTCAAGGGCTGAAGGCTCTGCGAACAAGGGATAAGCCCTGGGGAATGGATCATCTGAATCCGGCTGAACAGATTCTGGTTCGGCGCGGTAATGCAATGGCAAAAAGAAGCCTGAAGGGGCTACAAGATGCCTATGAGCGGAAGAGGTTTGGTTGCCTTGAACATCCGTGGGGTTCACACCTGTGGGCCACTCCCGAAGCCACGGAATTTGCATCAAGGCAGGGTATGTTCCACACCTATTTCTCTGCCTGTTGCTTTGGAGGTTCTCGGACAAAGTGGACAAGCCTCCTGCACAACGTCCCAGAGCTGCACGCGGCTTTGCACACACCCGTGTGCCCAGGTCACCAAGGCCTCTTGCCGTACGAGGTGCACGACGAGGATGGGGTTCTCCGATTTGATACAGCGGCTGAGGCCGAGTACGCTTGGACGCTATGCAAAGTGTACGCTGAGGCGTTGAGAGCAGCATTGGCTAAGAGAGTGAGCGTTCCCTTTGGGATTCAAGCCTGGGATGCTAAAGCGGCCATCCTTGCTGCTTTGAAGCGCTCCACCAGAGGAATGCAGAGTGATGGAGCAGCTGAAAATGTCTGCCACGAGGTCCTCAACATTTTGAAGACTATGAATGTTGGCCGTGAACAGAAGCACCTGAGGTGGCTTCTGAGGAATATCTGCATTCGTGGGACCGAGGTCCGTTTTGAGTCAGCGAAAGAGGACGGGTCTGGATCCTTGCTGGTCCCTTACCCCGCATATCGATGGCAGTGGAAGACCAAGCTGTCTTACCCGTGGCAGCACACGCAGCACATCAACGTGCTGGAAGTCTCCGCCTTCTTGGTGGAGTTCAGACGCCGGGTGCGCGATGTGTCGCAGTTGGGCGCCCGCTTTTTCAATGTCACTGACAGTCAGGTGACTTTCTTCTGCTTGTCCAAAGGACGAAGTAGTTCGGTGCGGCTGAACCGCCTGCTGCGCCGTGTCAATGCATTGATCTTGATGAGCCGAGCTATGCCCTTGCACTTGTGGACCATCTCCAAGTGGAACTTTGCTGATGCGCCGAGCCGGCGCTTTGAGCAGTGAGCATGCCGCGGTCTAAACATTTGCGTGAAGCAGGGATAGCTAAACGGACAATCAAGATCTATGAGCGGGAGGTTTCACTGTTCCTGTCCTTTTTGCATGTTGCAAAGATTCCTTTACCCTCCAACTTCAGGGCCTTGGACAATGAAGTTTCTGAGTTCATCAATCTGTTGTATCAAGAAGGGGAGAGTATTTCGCGTGCAGAAGCGATTGTACCCGCGTTGTCGGCGGGAGCTGTGCATTTCGCAACAGTGGTACACAAATTGGACTAGAGAACATGTCCCGACACGAGCAACCCCATGCACATGGGAGATGGTCCAAGCATTTATTGGTTTGTGTCTTCGACAAAAGTGGCCTCATTTGGGCCTGATCTTTCTTTTGGGCTTCGTCTTCTTTTTGCGCATCGGTGAAGTTATTGGTTTAGCCTTGACAGACATTGAATGTGACCTGACTACCTCAACAGTCCTTATCCGACTTGTCAATACGAAAACTTCACGGCAGCATCAGCAGTTTGTCGCACACACTGACAGTAATTTTGCACTGCTTACGCATTATTTCCTTCGGTCTGTGGACCCGTCTATTCCACTATGGCCATGTTCACTTTCTTACTTCCGCATTTGTTTTCGTGCTGTGACTTCATTTTTTGACCTTGATGAATTGAATTTGGTTCCATACAGTCTCCGCCGTGGCGGGGCTTCTTATTTCTATGGGGCTCAAAAAGCGTTGGACTTTGTGATGATTCAAGGCCGTTGGAAAGATCAACGAACTGCCAGATTGTACCTGGATGACGCTCGGGCCTCTTTGATCTCCATGCAACTTTCTCCTACCTCTAAGGCACTGATTTCCTCTTTCCGTGTCTCTTTTCTTCGTTTTTGTACTTCGCTTCGCAAATGACTCGTGGAGTCCTCCTGGTTGGGGGGTCCTGTGTGGTGCTCTTTTTGACTCCACTTTGCTTGGGCTGGTTGTGGTGTTCTCTTCTTCCTGGTGTTGGCTGTTTGCTTTCTGGTTACTC